AGTCACACACTCGGCACTTCCCGGCCTCCGGCGGCAGGAGGGGCTAAGCCAGCAATGCTGCTCACCTGGACACATCAGTGCCTGAAGTCTCAGCAGACTCCTGCCCCGAGTGTGTGAGGGCAAGTGAGTCCCACAGGGAGCTGCTGTCCCTGCAAGGGGCTTTCAGAGACCAGGAAGTGGGACTGGAGGATGCTGGCTGCTGGCTGCTCTCCAAGCATAAGCATGGGGCGGGGAGGTGGGGTGAAGAAGAGGAAGTTCAGGACTGTGAGGGAAGCGCTTCCGAGCCTACACCAAGTTCCAACAGTGAGACTACCGCCACCCGACCCTGCGGGGATGATGTGGCTGGAACCACAGTCATTTCTTTGCCAGACCAGGGATGGAGTGGAAGAAGGACCGCATGTGGGCTTGGAGAGATAGTACAGTGGGTAGCGCGCAGACCTTGCACACAGCCAACCCAGGTTCGATCCCCATGTGGTCCCCCAAGCCTCACCAGGAATTATCCCTGAATGCAGAGCCAGGAATAAGCTCTGAGCACTGCCCGGTGCAACAAAGGGGAAAACAGCAAAACCAAACAAACCAGAAGGAAAATATGGGCACATTATGGAAGGATTGGGGGGGGGCAAGATTTGGTGGTTCCTGAGCCCTGAGCCCCCAGCTATGTTGAGGATGCCCTTCCGGCAGTGTGTTGGGCCATGGAACACTGAGGCAAACCCACTTCTTTGCTCCCTCCCATAAAAGTTTTGCACGAAAAAAAAAAGTTGCACAGGGAGACTTCCAAAGAAGAGAGTGGGGCACGTCCTTTCCACTCTTGTTCACAAGGGTTCTCACAGCCAAGTACGCCATGGCACCATGTTGGAAACCTTCCCCGTATTTCAGGTGGAGGACAGAGCCTGGGGCCTCAGGCCTCCGGGGAGGCATAGAGAGCTTGTGATGGCGATGACCCCTGCCCTATGACCAGAACGGAGTTGTGCTCTGAACTCCGAAAATGTTTAGAATAGAACATTGTCCTCCCATTGTTCATCGATTTGCTCGAGCGGGCCCAGTAACGTCTCCATTGTAAGACTTTGTTGTTACTGTGTTTGGCATATCAAATTTGTCACGGACAGCTTGCCACGCTTTGCCGTGCATGCGGGCAAGATACTCTCGGTAGCTTGCCGGGCTCTCCGAGAGGGGCGGAGGAATTGAACTCGGGTCAGCCATGTTGGCTGCATGCAAGGCAAACGCCCTACCCGCTGTGCTATCACTCCAGCAACCTGAAAATGTTTAAAGACCTAATTAGAAAGTCACTGGCTGACTTTTTTCTTTTTTGATGGTGAATGAGTTAGAAAATGCATTTCAGGGGCTTGGAGAGATAGCACAGCGGATAGGGTGTTTGCCTTGCACACAGCTGACCCGGGTTCAATTCCCAGCATCCCATATGGTTCCCTGAGCACCGCCAGAAGTGACTCCTGAGTGCAGAGTAACCCTTGTGCATCACTGGGATTAATCCTGAAAAAAAAAAAGAAAAAAATTGCATTTCAAAATGAATGAATGTTAACCCCTTCAGAATAATGCCTAGGAGCCCAACAACGTATCTTTCAGAATGAAAAAAAAATGCCTCCTTCAGTAAGCAGAGCAAGTGTAGGAGCAATACAAGAAAGTGGAAAACAATTGCAACCCATTTTGCAAGCAGAAGGTTAAAACAAAGAACTCTTGGGAAATGAATAAGGAAAAAAATTAATCAATTGGAAAATAGGCAATTCGCACAATAAGATTTTAAATGGCCAATAATTATATAAATGTGTGCATAATGCTACACTGAAGAAACAAAAAAGAAGAAATGCACAAAAGTGACAATGAGCCATCACATTCATTGATAGAAATGTAAACGATTAATTAAAAAGCTAGTCACCGAGTCTACCTGTGATCTAAGAATACAGTGAAACCCAAACTCAGTGCTTACGGCGGGTCTTCGTCTCCTTAGCTGAGCCATGCTCAAGTCTGGCTCGGGCTTCTCCTGGCTCTGTGGTCAGTTGATGAGCTTGCTGGAGACCAGATGGTCAGGGATGGTCTCCTGAGCTGGCTCTGTTCTGCTCCTTGTGACCACTTTTCCTCCAGCAGGCTGGCCTGGGGTCATCACATGAATATCACAGAATCCCAAGAATAGCAGCAGAAGCCCCGAAGTCCCTAGAGTTCTTGGCTCTGTCTGAGCTGGCTCAGCATCACTTTTGCCTTGTGCATTTAATTGAACAAACAAATCATGATGCCAGCCCCAATTAAGAAGACAAAAGGCCTCTCTCTGAGAGTACAGAGTATTGTGGTCAATTTTGCAATCAAACACAACAGGAATGAGCACTGTTGGTATGGCCATAAACTGAGAAAGTCGTTCATGGGAAAAGTTGGCCAGTGTCTAATAAAAATCGTCAACATCTCCATAACTTGGATACCACAAATTCACAAGAGTTTGTGAAATAAGGTTTTCATCATGTGTGAAATGTCATAGGTTGTTTAATATAGTTGGACACAAAGAGTCATAATTTTCAAGGAATTGGGCCATTTTCTCCAAGCTGTAGAATTTGTGTGCGTGTATAAAATTGCTTGTAATAGTTTTTATTAGTCTTTTAATATATGTGTTGGAGCGATAGCACAGCGGGTAGGGCGTTCGCCTTACAAGCGGCCAACTATGGCCGACCCGAGTTCGATTCCTCCACCCCTCTCGGAGAGCCCGGCAAGCTACCCAGAGTATTCAATATGCCAGACACAGTAACAACAAGGTCTCCAATGGAGACATTACTGGGCCCGCTTGAGCAAATCGACGATCAACGGGAGGGCCAAAAATATATGTGTGGTCTGTTGTGATACGCTCCATTTTATTCCTCATGTTGACATCTTAATTTTTTGAGAAGCCAGTCCCAACAGTGCTCAGGTGCCTGAAGCTATTTCTGGCTGTACTTGAGGGCATCCGGTGCCAGGGATCCAACTCAGAGGTTCATGCATGATAGGCCTCTATTCTGCCTCTGAGCCAGTACTTCAGCCTGGCATCTGGGTTCTTGATTGGTCCCTCCGTTTTTCTTTTTTCTTTTCTTGTTTTGTCACTCTGCTTAGGGGTTTATTAACTCTATTGGTCTTCTCAAAGAAGCAGCCTTGATTATTCTCTGATTATCTCTTCAGGGCTGGAGTTATAACACAGCAGTAGGGCATTTGCCTTGCACACAGCCAACCCGAATGACCAGGGTTCAATTCCTCCACCCCTCTCGGAGAGCCCGCCGAGCTACCGAGAGTATCCCGCCCACACTGCAAAGCCTGGCAAGCTACCCATGACATATTCGATATGCCAAACACAGTAACAACAAAGTCTCACAATGGAGACGTTACTGGGCCCGCTCGAGCAATCTCTTCACATCTATTTTCTGTTCTACCCTATTTCTCCTCTCTTCTGAGCTCCTTCGGCATCTTAATGACATAGATATTAGACCTTTTTTAAAAGGGAAAAAGAATTTGGGGGGAATCTTCAGAGGATACTTGTGGCTCTGCATTCTGGGATTACTCTTGGAGGTGCTTGGGGGACCATATACGGTGCCTGGGATCGAACTCAGGATGGCTGTGTGCAAGGCAAGTGCCCTGCCTGCTTGCAGTATCTCTCTGGTCCTAGATATTAGACATTAAGCATTTCCCACATTCATCCCCGAAGCTCTGTTCACTATTTCTCTCTTACACATACTGAGTAATTTTTACCGATCTGTCTCCAAGTCCACGAATTCCTTTGTCATCTCTATTTTTCTATTGAACATACTCAGAAAAAATTTTAACTACTCTACTTTCCAGTTCTAAACTTTCCACCTGTTTCTTCTTTGTATTTTCTAAATTATTTTACTGATGAATTTGTATCTTTCCACTTGTTTGATCCTTTTCCACTGTTTGCCCTTACTAGTTAGAGCATGATTCCAATGGCTGTTTTGGATTCTGTTCATTTCATAATTGTACCACCAGGTGGCTGGTAACTGTTTCTTTCCTTTCCCTTTTCAAGATGAGATTATCCTGGGTCTTCCTATGCTGAGTAGTTGGGGATTATGACTTTGGCAATGCTATAGAGATCTGCCTTATAGACGCACCACCAGTATCCTGGGTGGACACTTGTTATCCCTTAGCTAAGTTCCTAAAGACTAGTATGATGTTTTGGAAAGAATGCATGTCCAACTTGTAGTGACCACAGGATTTTATCGTGCCTTTATGGAATTGCTTTCTTAAACTCTTTCCTCTTAATCACCCCCTTCTCAGCCGTCTAGCCCAAAAGCTTTACTTGCCTTGCTGTGCCAGGGAAGTCCTCTGCGTTTGGATCAATTAACAGAGAATGAAAAAGGAAGCAAAGCTAGGGTATTTGCCCACACAGTTCTGGATCTCCCCCTTGGAGACTTTGGTGTTTGCCCGGCCACCACCATCACTTCTGCCACAGCAGAATTTCCTGAGGGGAAGTCAAACAATCACAGGGAAGGTTGGAAGGACCAACCAGCCAGAGAGGGGTGGGGAGGGGGGCAGGGTGCTCGCCCTGCGTCCACCAAGGGCCCTGCGCCCCTGGGTCCCAAGAGTAGTGATCCCTGAGTGCGGAGCGTTGAGCACCACTGGGTGTTGCCAAGCATGAAAAAGAGGTGGGGGTGGTGAATGAGTGGGGGTCTCCCCCTCTCCCCCCGGGGCCAGGGAAAGGCCTTCCTTGGAGCATTGTTTCTCCGTACCAGACCGGGAGCGGAGAAGGGCCCTGGGAATCTCCCTGCCAAATTGTTGGTGCTTTATCCATCCAGCGCCTCCCCTGGCTGCTTTCTCGCACTTTGTTTGCAGGGTCCCAGGGGAGCTGCCCCAGAATTCCCTACCTGCCTTCTCCTTCTCGCCAGCACTCAGCCTCGCTGTGTTTTCAGACAACCCTCACCTGCCCTCTCCAGAAAGAGCACACGGAGGCAGCGGGGGGAGGAGGGGGTCTGCTGCTGTCCCTGCAGCCACTGACCCTCTCACCCCCCGTTTCTCTGCAGGCACGCAGGTGACCGTGGAGATCCACTCTCGGGACACCGTGCCCCAGTTGCTGCAGAAGTTCTCCTTGGCCAAATGTACGTACGGGCAGGGCCGCTGAGTGTCCTGGGCTGGTGGAGGGCATTCCTGGCCAGCATGCAGGAGAAGCCTTCTCGGAGGGAAGGACAGGGAGAGCCTAGGCCTGCACCCCACTAAGAGGCATGAAATTTCTCCGCCCCAACACCCTCCATCTTCAGCAGCTGTGCAGGTGGTCCTTGAAGATGGGCTACCTCAGCGGGAACCACAGCACATGGTTTGGGGGGCCCTGATAAGCTGCCAGCGGGGCCTGGGCCGAGCTAAGCAGCTACCCCCCTTCCGTGCTGTCGTGCCCACCCCACTTTGTAGAAAAAATTCTATTGATTGAGGTTCGTGGTTTGCACAATACTGTGAATAATGGTGCCTCATGCATGTAGTTCCAACAGAGCAGCCCTCACCAGGGCCCACCTCCCTCTCCCAAAGACCCCAGCACCCCCCTCCCAGCCCCCGCCCCCCGACTCAGTTGTGTGGATCAGTTCTCCCACTGTTTTTCTTTGGCGCTGGGTTGCTGCCTTCTTGTGTATCTCAAAGTCCCGCATCTGAGCTGTCATTCTGTATCTAGTCCTTTTCTTCCGACCAGCTTCACTCTGGATGACACGCTCTACTTTCATCCATGCTGTTGCGTGATTTTCACCATCCTTAGAGCTGCCCAGTATTCTGTCATGTAAATGTCCCACCACTTCTTGATCCTTTCATCTGCAGTTGGTAAACATGGGCCAGCGTGAGGGCTGGGCAGCACCCCCCCCTTAATGCCCCCCGAGTAAGGCAGAGCGAGGCCAGGGAACAACAGCCTGGGCCCTACTGTGTTCCCAGATGCTGGACTGCTGTGTCCAGCGCACTGACCAGGCTACCCGGGCCCCTAGGGGTGCCTCCCTCATGTCCTGGCCACTCAGCCTGGGCTGGGCCGGGCCCTCGAATGGGGAGGGGGTGGAGGACCACGCTTCAGCTCTGCACTTGGGCCAGCTGGTCTAACCTCTCTTTGGACCTTGTTTTGCCCAGGTATGAAAGAATATCATTAATTCCACACCTTTTAGAGAAGTATGGAGAAGTTAAATGAGAGAATGAACCCACAGCACACATCATGGGAGGGGTCCAGTAAACACTAAGTGCCATCGTGAACCCCCACCATCCTGCCAAAGAAAGGGGCCAGAACAAAGAGACAGGGCAAGCAGCGAAGGGCCACAGCTTCTGGGGAGGCCTGGGACACTCTCAGCTTCCAGCCCGCTGGGGCCTACAGGGATATGCAGAAGAGACCCCCCATTCCCTCACATACACCCCAGACTCCAGCCTACTGGGGCCTACACTGATCCGCAGAGAAGACTCCCCCCAGCCCCCCACACCCTAGATTCCAGCCTGCTGGGGCCTACAATGGTCTGCAGAGGAGACCACCCTCCTTCCCCCACAGCCCCCTGCATCCCAGATTCCTTCAGGGATTCACATCTTCCTCACCTGCTTTCACAGTTGCAGGGAGAGTTTCTTTGCTGTTGCCTGTAACCTCCAGGAACTACTGGGGGCCACATGCAGGCCTGAATCCATAGGATCTGGTGCCTTTGCACCTTCCCAAGGAACGTGAGTCAGTAATTGCTGGGAGCAGAGAGGCAGTACGGGAGTAAGGGCACTTGCCTTGCATGCAGCTAACCCCGGTTCACTCCCCAGTTCCACCTGGTCTCTGAGCAGCATCAGGCATCACCCCTGAGCACAGAGCCAAGAGTTGCCAAGTGTAACTCCCCTCTCCTGGATGTTCTGGGTTTTATGCTCCATGCATTGGGCTGGAGCAATAGCACAGCGGGTAGGATGTTTGCCTTACATGCGGCCAACCTGGGTTCGATTCCTCCACCCCTCTCGGAGAGTCCGGCAGGCTACCAAGAGTATCTCGCCCTCACGGCAATGCCTGGCAAGCTCCCCGTGATGTATTCGATATGCCAACCACAGTAACAACAAGTCTCACTATGGAGATGTTACTGGGCCCACTCGAGCAAATGGATGAGCAATAGGAGGACAGTGTTACAGTGCTATGCTCCATGTAAACCCCCTGCCCCTCTCTCATGCAGCCCATGGTCAGCTCGGGTCCAGGAGTTCTGTAACTGTTTGAAGCACCCAGCATCTCCCAGTGTGTTCTGAGCTGGCAGGAGGGTGGCGGCACCAGGGCCCAGGCAGCCATGCTGGATGCCCCAACGTGCTCCTGGTGGAACTCTCCCGACTTCAGTGCTCTTTCTTGTCATCCCTTCCCTGGTCTTGTCCTCCTGCTACTGCCCAGGAAGTGCAGAGTGGTTCTGACAGTCGTGGGTGGGGGCGGGATCCATGGGGAGGAGGGACGCCTGCCCGAACGTCTGTGTTCACGTGCTTCTTCTGAAGTCTCTCCACTCTGTCCTTTGTGGTGTCGTAGGTTTACACAGTGACAAAAACGGAAACACAAGGCCCCGGCAGCCTGGAACGAAAGACGCTGTGGGTGAGTCACAGGCCTGCTCTGAGCTGCCGCTGGTTTTGTGTCGGGGTCAAGCTCAGGTCTCTGAAATGGCTCCCTGGGGCACAGGGCTGAGAGCCTGGGGCCACTTGCTGTTGGGAGATGGAGGGAGGGCACGAAGAAGTGAAGAACTCACTCAAGGGACGCGGCCCCCGAGCTCAAACACCACCCCCACCCCGCCCCACCCGCCAATACCAAGGCTGCGTGTTGCAAGGGTCACTCAAAACAGAGCTCATGGTCACATCCCCAGCCAAGGTGCAAGGCAGGAGTTCAGAGCCAGCGACAGACGCCTGGGTTGGGGCCAGGGACATGGGCGCAAAGTCTGCCTTTCTCCCTCACTTGCCATCCCAGCCTCAGTTTCTCCTTCGGTGGACCCAATGTCATCTCACGCTGGGATGGCTTCATGCATCGACCCATTGTTCTGCTTTAAAATTGGAATCATTTGGGGCTGGAGCGATAGTAGGGCATTTGCCTTGCATGTGGCCGATCCGGGTTCAATTCCCAGCATCCCATGTGGTCCCCCGAGCACTGCCAGGAGTGATTCCTGAGTGCATGAGCCAGGAGTAACCCCTGTGCATCGCTGGGTGTGACCCAAAAAGCCAAAAATAAATAAATAAATAAATAAATAGTACTCCGAGTCTTCAAGTTCATAGGTTACACCTTTGCCACAGCCTTGGCTAGGTCTTGAACTAGTGCTGAATTCAGCTGTGCCAGAGTGCTGATCTTAGCGTGCTTGGATGTGGCATATTTGTTCTTGATAATCATGTGCTATCAAATAAATAAATAAATAAATAAATAAAATTGGAATCATTTAATTCATGCCACTGGCATTTTAGACACGTTCATGCTCATTCATATTTAGGTCTTATGTAATCTGTTCAGAAGGTAAATTTAATGAGGCAACAAATCATGATGGGTATTTTGGGGGGCTCCCCACTAGTGCTCAGAAGGCCTGGGAGCCCCCCCAGTCAGCTGGACTGGAGGTTCAGTGCCAGGGCCTGAGGATATGCTGATGTGATGCAACTGCAGTATTGGCGATCACCCAGAACCCCCGGGCAGCACTCAGGCAGGACAGCAACTGTCCCCAGTGATTCTCAGGGGACCACGTGGTGTCAGGTTGGACCAGGTTGGCAGCATGCAAGGCCAGTACCTTCACCCCGAGACCACCTCTCTGGCCCTCGCTCTGGGCACTGTTACCATTCAGGCATTGGAAGCTGGAAGGAGAGAGAGGGAAGAGCAGGGCTGGCTTCCCACTCCTGCTTTGCAGACCTGCTGGGCAGAGACTTGGCTGCTGCATCTACTTCCTGTCAGCTCGGGTCCCCTGAGGACCCTCATCAGTGAAAAGAGGGAGCCAGGTTCCATGGAGGAGGGGCACTGGGAAGTGGGGTGCTCTGCAGTGGCTGCCTTCTGAGGGAACCCCAGGGTGGGAGGCTGAGAGACCACACAGCAGAGGAGCAATGATCTAAGTGATGGGAGGCAGGACCCCCCAGGAATGAGGCATGGCGGTGCAGTTTTCAGGAAGCACCATTGGGGGCTCAAGGGTGCAGAGTAGGGGGGAAGGATTGGGGAAGACCAGGAAGTTACCCTGGCCCTAGAAGAGGGGCAGAAATAGATAAGAAATGCCAGGTGCGGGTTGTGGCTGGTGAAGGCACCCAACCTGCCCACCCCAGAGACTGCCCTGTCCTTCACGGGCCTCCCAGTGCAGGTTTGGGTCAGTGCTTAAGTGCTCTGGGCTGCCGAGAATGTCGGGGTGGGGCTCCACTTGGGACCCTCCATCTTAAGCCCACAGCAGGGAGAGGTTTCCCTACACAGCCTTGTTCAGGGGTCTGAGGTCTGCCTGAGCATACTTAGGGTGCTTCCGGGGGGCATAGGGGCATTCTTTCTGGGCTCAATGCACCCTGCAACCCTGGCCTCCATCAGTGCCACCTCTGGACTGGGCGCCTGGCATTACAGGGATGCCCCTCCCCAACAGAGCCGACTCTGCAGAGAGGTGACTGCGGGGTAAGGCAGAACCCTCATCCCCCTCACCCATTTGTGGGGGCTGCTGAGGCTGCTGAAATGAAACCGGCCCCCTGGCCCCCTGGGGTCTGCCAATAGACTGAGAACTAGAGGGGCTGCAGGTTCCCCAGCTGGTGTGCCCAAGGACCGCTACCAGGACCCTCAGATGCGAAACTCTCACACTTCAGGATCAAACCGAAGGTGGGGGTCACAGCTTCCCCCCACACACACACACAGCCCTTTGGCCAAGGGACAGCAAGTCTGGGCCCCTGTGCCCAGGGCTTTGCTGCTGACCACATCTCCCTGTTTCCAGCGTACCCCTGGGACCGGTCCAGCCTGAAATCCCTGACACTAGACCTGCAGCAGTTTGAGAAACTGGACGCCTACGCGTCCCAGGTGAGTGAGCCAACCAGGGAGGGTGGGGTACCGTGTGAGTGGAGCAGCACCCACTTTCTCCACAAAGACTCTGATGTGCATCCTATCGTCTGTGTTTGTTTGTTTGGGGGCCACACCCAGCGGTGCTCAGGGCTGACTCCTGGATCTGCACTCAAGGATCACTCCTGGCAGACTTGGAGGAGCAAATGGGGTTCTGGGGGTCGAATCTGGGTTGGTGGTGTGCAAGGCAAGTGCCTAACCCGCTACACCATCTCTCCAGCCCCGTGATGTGCATCCTTCTGCATCTGGCTTTTTTGTACTTAGCATCACACTTTTTTTTTTTAATTTCTAAAGTTTAATGAGGGAGGTAGAGGGTAATCAATGAGATAGGTTTTTTTTTTTAATTTTTAATAGTGAGACATCATGAGGTACAGTTGCAGACTTACACATTTTTGTGCTTGGGTTTCAATTATACAATGATCAAATACCCATCCCTCCACCAGTGCCCATTTTACACCACCACTGGTCCCAGTATCCCTCCCACCCTAATCCCCCCATCCCACCCTGCCTCTGTGGCAGGGCATTCCCTTTTGTTCTCTCTCTCCTATTGGGTGTTGTGGTTTAGCATCACACTTTTAATGTTCACCCTATCGTGGGAGGTTTCCAAACTTGCTTTGGTAGGTAACATCCCACTCGATGGATAACCCACATTCTGTGGATCTCTTCACCCGTGCTGGACTCGAGGCCGCGGCCTCCTTGTGGCTATTGGAAAGAAGGTGAAGGAACATTGGCAAGCCAGGATCCATCTGAGTGCCTCCTTTCATTCTTGTAGGTGCTTTCTTAAGAGTGGGATTACTGGCTCGTGGAGTCTTTCCAACTTAACTTTTGGAAGACCCGCCAAATTGCTTTCCACAGCAGCTGCACGCTCTGCCTTCCCGCGGCCATGGCGAGGGTTTCCACTCCTCACATTCTGGCCAGCACCACTCACTGTTGCTCATCTTTGTAGTCAGCCTACGAGTGGGAAGAATCGGTCCATTGTGGTTTGATTTTCTAGTGACTAATCAAGGTGGAGAGGCCCTCTTCAAGTGCTTATTGGCCACTGTGTACCTCTGGGAAAACATCTGTGTGAGTCCTTCGGTCATTTAAAAAGCCCATTGCTTGTTTTTTCCCCCCAATTCTTCTGCATTATTGCATTTATTTGCTTTTATCTGTTATTTTCTTTTATTAGAAGTCTTTCTTTGTGTTTTGTTTTTTTGAGATACACAGTTACAAAGATGTTCATGATAGGGTTTCAGTCATACACTGTTTCAGCACCTCCACAAGCACACAGTTCCCACCACCAAAGACCCATTTCCCTCCCGCCACCTCCCACCCCCAGCCTGTCTCCCTCGCAGGCCCTTGACATCTTTCTCTCTCTCTCGCTCGCTCGCTCACTTGCTCTTGCTCTCTCTCACGCTCCCTCGCTGTGTGTCTTTCCCTCTCTGTGTCTCTGTCTCTGTTTCTCTCTCTTTCTTGTTTGTCTTTTATTGCTGAATTGTAGGAGTTCTCTAGATATTCTGGAGATTAAGACCCTACCAGACATGTGATTGTGATTATTATTCTCTGCTCCTGTGAATTGTCTTTTTGTTCTCTTAAAGTCATTTGATGCACAGGGATTTTTTTTTTTGTTTTAGGAACTACAATTAGTATCTCACTTTTACAGCTTCTGCTTTAGCATCAAGTTTTAAAATCCATTGCCCATGGGGCCGGAGAGGTAGTACAGCGGGTAGGATGTTTGCCTGGCAACAAGCCGACCCTGGTTGGATCCCCAACATCCCATATGGTCCCTGAAGCAACACCAGAAGTGATTCCTGAGTTTAGAGCCAGGAGTAACCACTGAGCGCTGCTGGATGTGACCCCCCCCAAAAAATCCATTGCCCAAACCAAGGCGATGAAATTTACCCCTGTATATTCTATGAGTTTTTATTACTTAAGCTCTTAAACTTAGGCCATTGATCTTTGAGGAGGCCCCTTTTGAACACGGATGAGCTCCAACTCTATTCTTTTTTTTTAATGTAGGAGTACTGCTATTTATTCAGGCACTGATTAAGCTGATTGAATTGGGCGTGAACTCCACCTTACTTTTTTTTCATTTTTTATAATTTTGTTTAGTGAATCACTGTGAGAGCAGTTACAAAGCTTTTGGGTTTAAGTCTTGGTCATACAATGAAACACCCGTACCTTCACCAGAGCCCATTCTCCACCACCAAAAACCCCAATGTACCCCCATCCCACACCCTCTCCCTACCTGTGGGGCAGATGACCTCCACATTACTCTCTCTCTCTACTTTGATTATATTCAATATTTTGACACCTGACCCATCATTATTATTTGGGATTTTACCCCAGCACTCGGATCTGCCAAAAAGGCAACAGTAGAGAATTTGTTTTCTATTGCTGGTTATGAATGACATATGATGTTGTGCTGCTGCAGTAGTAGCTACACAATTTTGAAATTCCGAAATTTTAACAATTAAATCTGGAGGGATTTCTGCCATAACCTGCTGGGTTCCGAGATTTGTTCCTGAGTCTCTGGGATCATGGCCATTTAGCAGCTTGATCAGAAGCCAGAGAGACCATTCGTGGGCGGTGACTCGGGGTCTCGTTGGAATGGGGAAGAAAGGGCCGGCTCCACCCCCATCCCATGAGGCCCTGCATGTCTCGTCACTGCGGGCCCAAACCTGACTGTCCAGTGGCCTCTGAAGGATGGCAGCCACCAGCCGCCAGGAGGACCAGGCCAAGGCATGAAACCTATTCCTACCTGGAGTGGCCCAGCATCGGTAACCTACTGCAGGGACCAGACGCAGTTCTGCCAAAAGCTGTTGGGTTTTGAGATTTGTTTCTGAGTCTCTGGGATATTGGCCATTAAGCAGGCCTCCAATTATATAGCTGAGCCAGAGGTGGTTCGTGGGTGTGTCTCCCACATACCTAACTTTTGGCCATTTACTTTCTTGATAAACTTTGCCCCAAGTTTTTGGGGTCTGGCCAAAGTCACAGCAGCAATTTTAGGGTATCTGGAAATCTGAAGGCGCCATCAGGCTGCTTATGCACTCGCCTCACAGGTACAAATTGCCCTGCAGGCAGCACCATACCCCCATCCAATTCCATTCTTTTGCACTGATCATCCAGTTGTGCAGAACTCTGTTGAAGAGATGCTTCCTTCCCTGTTTAGACTGGCCTGAATATCAGGGTTTATTTCTGAACTCTGTGCCACACTGCTTTCATTACCATTGCTTTGCAGTGAGTTTTGAAATCAGGAAGTGTGGCTCTGCCGACTTTGTTTATTTGAAGCAGAGCATTGCCTGTTCTGGGCCCCTTGCCCTACCCAGACGTGTCCGAGGCGTGCCCTTCCAATACTCTGCAAAAGGGCTGCTGGACTCTGACAGGGCTCTGCTACCTCTGTAGCTTGCTCTGGCTGGAGCAAGAAGCTGATGCAGCTGCCCAGGGCCACACTTGGCTCACCCCAAAACCTTCAGAGAAAAGACAGGGCCTGACCAGCCGCACACTCTAGGGGTAAAGGCAGCTCAGATAGAGAAGGGAGCACCAAATAAAGGATGTTGGGAAGATCCGCCCAGGATGGGAGATGCATGCTGAAAGTAGACTATAGACCGAACATGATTGCCACTCAATGCCTCTTTTGCAAACCACAGCACCCAAAAGGAGAGAGAGAACAAGGGAGAGTGCCCTGCCACAGAGCAGGGTGGGATGGGGGGATGAGGGGGGTGGGAGGGATACTGGGATCAGTGGTGGTGGAGAATGGGCACTGGTGAAGGGATGGGTACTCGATCATTGTACAACTGAAACCCAAGCACAAAAATTTGTAAGTCTACAACTGTACCTCATGGTGTTTCACTAATATAAATAAATAAAGAAAGAACACTTTCTCATCAAAAAGAAAAAAGAAGAAGAAAGAAAATATAGGGCCTGAGGGCCAGTGGCTCAGTGGACCAGTATGCCCATCTGGTCCAGTACCCCCAAACTGAGGTTGCTCTCAGCCTCGCCAGGTCACTCTGGGCCCTTGTTCCCTCCTGCCATGGCAGGGCCCTGGTTCCCGTGACACAGCACCCCCCTCCCCTCCTAGGTGACCGTCAAGAGTGGCCTGAACGAACTGGTGAGTGACCTGCTCCAGGAGGCCCACAGTGACCTGGAGCGGGTGCGAGCCATCTGGATCTGGATCTGCCACCATATTGGTAGGCCCCAGTGGCACTCCCCTAGCCATTCGTGTCATGTGGGGTTGAGAGGGGAGGCCAGGGAGCAGGGTCCCCAGGGTGGGTCAGAATGACATAGACTAATGGGAGGGACAACCAGGGTGCCGGGCGGGGAACCCCCACCACCCCTGCTGTAGCTACAGCCCCCACCCAGCTGCGGCCTCCTCAGTCATGGTAAGCCCAGCCCACCCGGATGAGAACCCAGGACAGGAGGGCACTTCCCAGAGGGCAGACCATGCATGTCACGGTTGGAAAACAACAAATGTCTCGGTTGTTGTTTGTCTTCAAAGGTTGACCTTTTTATTTAGTGTTCTGGGAAACTTTAGGTTGCTTCTTACAAATGAAACCAAAGAAATTCCCAGTTCGCAACATAAAGAAGCAGGAAATAGTCCTTTAATTGAAAATAGTGGGGCAGGCTCCAGGGGAGGGAGGCAAGGGTCAAGTTGGCAGGACCTTTAACAGTGTGGGGAAGGATTTTACCTTGCACCCAGCTGACCTGGGTTTGATTCCTGACTTCTCCACAGATGGGACCCTGAGCTCTCCCGGGAGTGATTCTTTTTTTTTTTTTTTTTGCTTTTTGGGTCCCCCCCCCCCCCGGCGATGCACAGGGGTTACTCCTGGCTCTGCATTCAGGAATTATCTCTAGCTGTGCTCAGGGGACCATATGGGATGCTGGGAATCGAACCCAGGTTGGCTGCGTGCAAGGCAAACGCCCTACCCGCTGTGCTATTGCTCCAGCCCCTGGGAGTGATTCTTGAGCACAGAGAAGGGAGTAAGCCCTGAGCACTGCCAGGTGTGGCCCACACCTCCGAAAACAAGTCACAATGCCAAAGGTTGCTGGTACAAGTGCCACGAAGGGCGGGCACCCCACTGCTCCCCTCCCCATCCCACCAGCAACCTTGGCCATCTATCCCAGCTCCGTCCCCAGGTCCAGGGTCTGCCCGCAGGAAAGCCCCACAGGTGGTTCCAGGTGCTGCCCCCCTCGCGGCCCCCACAGACCCCCAGAGCAACTGGGTGCTGTGCTCTCAGGATTAGGGGCTCCCAACTTTCTGCTTTTCTTTTGTCCTCTCTGGATGGCAGTGGGGGTGTAGAGACTAAACTCTAAGTGTAAAGACTAAACTCAACTGACAGAGGTGGGCCCCCTCCTCCTCCACCCCCTGGGTGCTCCCCCAGCTTCAAGGGAGAAGAGTGAGAAAGAGACCACTGGCAGTCTCCACCATCAGACTCTTCCTTACTGAGCTGCCTCTTACTGCGCCCCCTACTGGTCAGTATGAGACCTGCAGGGACAAGAGAGCAGCCTGACTCCAACACTGGAAACCAGTGCATGGTACCAATAGCAAAGTGGAGGGCAGGGCGTGATGGGGACACTGTCTCCCCCCCCCACCACACACACCTCGTTTCTGCACCTGCCTCCCCACAACCTCTCCCTCTGCCCTGCAGAGTACGACATCGAGGCTGCCCAGGACAAGAATTGCCAGGTCTTCAAGCCCACCGAGATCCTGCGCACCCAGAAGGCCAACTGTGACGGCTATTCCGGGCTCTTTGAGAAAATGTGCAGGTACAGAGGAGCCCCCGGCATGCCCCCGCAGAGACCCATCACCCCTCCCCTCACCCCGAAGCACCATGCCCCCCGCCCACGCGCCAGCCTAAGTCCGCAGCTCTGCCCTGGAAGCTGAGTGAGTCCTGAAAAGGTCAATTCTTCCCTTTTTAACACCAGCGTAATTGACTTTGCACCATCTGCGCGCTTTGCGATGCATTAACATAATGGCAGATGAATGCACGCAGATAATTGGGTTATAAAAGGGCCTTTTCCACCTTCTCCCATCTCTGAGCAGCTGAAGGTTAACGGAACACCAGGTCAGGGACAGGGGCTGCTTGCTCTCAGGGGAATTGCGCGGGGGTCCTTCCACAAGGGGAACGAAAAACAAACCCAGGCCCCAAAGGACTTGTCGGCTGCAGAAGCTGCGTAAGTGGGCGCAGACCCTGGGCCCTGCCCGGGTCTGGGGAAAGCGCTTGCCGGCAGCTGCACCTGAGCGAGCGGGCTCGGGAGGGTGGGAGGAACCTTTAGTGTCTGGAGACTCCATTGCTGATTCCGGGTGGGCTGGAGTGAGGCTCGAGCTCAGGGTGGGGGAGTGCAGACCCCCACAGTCTACTGGGTCTCTTGAGAGAGCACACAGCCAGCCCTGAACCGCCTCTCTCTGCCTCCCGCGCTCCACCCAGGCAGACCCACCCAGGCGGACCCAACCGGGCCTCGGGGCTTCCCACACGCCTGCTCTTCCCCTGCGCCTCCTCCCAGGCCCACCCCAGACGTTGGGAGGAGCCGAGGGCAGCCCTGTGCCCCCACCAAACTCCTTCTGCCACATCCCCCCACTGCGCGTCAAGACCCCACTATCCCCGGGTCTTTGGGTCTCTCCGGGACCCCTCAGCAGGCTTGCCAGCCCGACTCAAAGCCTAGCTCCAGTGTCCAGCCCTCCTGCCTCAAGCACAGACCAGGGAGTAAGCGCTGAGCATTGCCAGGTGTGGCCCACCCCTCCAGCTGTCAATCATCCTTGCGACCAGGTCCTGGCCCCGCCCTCCAGCTCTCTGCTCCCCCTTACCTCCTTCTACCACCCCCCAACACCCGGGACAGCCCGACGCCCCTCCCTGCCTGAGACATGGCCGCGCCTGCTTCCACCTTGATTTACACTTTCATTTTATAGCTTTGGAAATCTGAAACAAACAAAACACCACTGGTTAATCAAAGACGATTTATAAAATGCACAAAAGTCAATAGAAGACCGGTAATGTTCTGAGCCGCAGCCATTGGGCACAGCTCGGGCCTTTTTTTGTTTGTTTTTTGTTTTTTGTTTGTTTTTAATTTATTTATTGAATCACTGTGGGAAAAGTTACAAAGCTTTCAGGTTTAAGTCTCAGTCATGCAATCATCAAACACATTTCCCTTCACCAGTACTTATTTTTCACCACCAAGAACCCCAATATACCCCCCCACCCCTCCCAATGCCTGTGAGGCAGATGAATTCTAGTTAACACTCTATCTACTTTGATTAGATTCATTGTTTCGACAAAAGATGCACCATCATTATTTAGAGTTTACACCCCCAAATCAGACCTGCTGAAAAGGCGTTGTGAAATAATTTGTTTTCTACAGCTGGTTACAAGAACCAAATGATGTTGTACGGCCACTACCGCGGCCACGCGATTTTGGATTTCTGACATTTTACTTATTAAACCTGGAAGTATTTCAGCCTAGAGTCAGATAATTATGAGATTGGTTTCTGTGGCTCTGGAGCCATGGCCGTGCCGGAGAGCCGCTCGTGGGGGGAAACCAGTGACCTTGGTAGGGCGTGAAGGATGAGCTGGGAACGCCCCCCTTCCCATAAGGTTTCAATTGACCCGTCACCACAGGCTCATACCTGGCTTTGCAAAAAACTCCAAGGCAGCCACAATCTTGCTGTCCAAAGGGAAAAAGGTGAAAAGGAGCAACACCCTTTCCCTCCTGGGCAGGCATGGTGCCGTGGATCAACACATAGTCCATTCACTTTTCTGCCGCAAGCTGCCAGGCTCTACATTAAGTCCTTGTACTTCTGAAGCCATGGCCGTGCTGGAGAGCCGCTCGTGGGGGGCAAGCTATGACCTCGGTAGGGCATGAAGGACGAGCTGGGAACGCCCCCCTTCCCATGAGGTTTCAGCTGCCCTGTCACCACCGGCTCATACCTTGCTTTGCAAAAAGCTCCAACAGTTCGGGTCTTTGAAGCAAGCCTGTGTGCTCTCTGTGCCACGAGCCCGGCACTCTGCAACCTGTGGAAGGTCCCCTGGGATCCTGCCGGCGGGCCTGACTCACCTGTTTGTGCTGGACCAACCACCCATCTGCTCTCAGCTCTGCCGTAGCCTTCCAGCCCCACCTGTTTCCATCGTACTCTGCGCCCCGAAAGCCCTCCAAGCATTTCAGTCATAGAGTACATCCTTCGTCCCGTGGAGCTTCCTCAGATCCAGAACTAGGAGCCCCCTGTCCCCATCTCCAAGCTAACAGCCCTCAGACTGTTTCGCTCCCTTGGCAGTTTGCTCCCTGACCTCCAGTAGCCTCTGTTTCCCCACCTGCATACTGGGACTCTATCCACGCACCTCTGAGTCTGCGTACCTCACTTTGGTGGGTTGGTTTGATTTTTAACCGTCTTGTCTTTTTTGAGAGCTGGAGGTTTTGTCCTACGGATCTTTCCTACAAACCCTCTCAGACTCAGGAAATTGTCACTTACCTGGAGTGTGACTGTCAGCGCCAGCATGGCCGCTTGATAACGATGGCCAAGGGCTGACCCCAGAGGGTCCTGGCAGCACCTCCGTGTTTCTACCTGTCTAGAGTCGGGCTCCCGGCCGATTGCTGTCGCGTGCAGGGCGGCCCCGTGGCGGGGCTTCTCCACAAGCACCAGCAGGGCCCTGAATGTCTTTCCCTTTAGCTTTAAAGATCAGTGATCTCATTCATGCCTCGCTCAGCTGCAAACAACCAGGAAGGTTCTGGGCACTCGCTTGCTGAGGCCTTCCTGCCCAGGGCCTGTGCTTCACTCACTCCCTGTGTGTGGAGCTGGTGGTCTCTGTGTAAGAGCCGTCCCCAAACGGCCATCAGCACTCCTGCCGGCTCATCCCGCCTCCCTCATGAGAGGCCGGCTTGAGGAAGGGGGTGGGGGATTCCGACAACTGAGCAGCCTCATTCATGTGCTCCCCGTCCCTCCAGGTGACTTTTTCTGTTGTTAGCGCTAATGCCAGGGTTCCAGTTCTCGTTCCTCCCACGTCCTCCTGGCAAGCGTGCCAACCTTTTCTTTTCTACCTGCATTGTCCACGGCCCAATGAATTCGGTTTCATTTCCCTGCAAGGAGCCAAGCTAATTCTCCAGCTTCCCAGCACTGCATCAGCACCACTCCCCGCTCCATCACCTCCTGCTCCCCATCTCTGCTTCAGCCACACCAGCTGATGCATTTTTCTGGGAGCTTATTACCAGCCTGCGGCTTGGCGCTTCAGGACTGTCTCCATCACTGTCAGCCTGTTACCCTCCAGCTTCCCGCCCTCACAGCAGAAAAGTGACAGGCCTCTGCCCGACATGACATCCCATGTGATCCCTCAGTCTTCCGCGCTTCCAAAGGCTGAGGCGTTACTGCCTCAGTCTACCCAGTGCGGATGCATTAACCTGTCTCTGGCTCTCAGAGCGGGGGCTCCACTGCCCTCCTCCTGCTGATGGACAATGACATGGACCCTGGGCAGCAGTAAGGCCACATGCATGCCCCGAGACAACTCTGTCTCTCATGTGTCCCTGGATGTGGCAGTTTCTTCCTCACCTGTTGGAAAGAGAATCCCTGAGGGTTTGGGGGATGTGTCGCCGGGATCAGGGATACTGGCCTCCACCAAAGGGCATGTCAGAAAAAAGGAGAGAGAGCAGAGGCGAATATGAAGATTTTGCTGATGAGGACCGAGGGTGAGGAAGTCAGGACACACCTGACTGTGCGTGTCCTGCATCGAAAGGCACAGGTGTCCCGTTAGGCCTCCTCTGTGCTGTGGCCGTGCAGAGAGAGTGCTCCTGCTTCTCAGGCGCTTGCCTTGCACGCAGCCAACTGGAAGGTAGAATCATAAATCAAAGCTCCCCTGTGGCTCTCTGTGCCCTCCCTGTGCGGACGAGAACTGGAGAAAGCGGGAAGGTCTCTCGCCCCCTGCCCCTTTTTAGCTCTCCCACATCTCGCGGGAACATCTCTCCTCGTCCCCTTCTTTAGCTCTCCCGCATTCCCCCAACACAATGCTCCTTCCCAGTGGTGTGCTTGTCACTGGCGTTTGAGTGACACTTAGATCCCAACTATGAGCACGTTCAGGAGAGCCGGGGAGCTTAGGTGGGGAGTAGTATGCATTTGTATTGCTATCATCCAAATGTGTGGTTTTATATTTTATAGTCTTTGTATGTGGAATGCATCCTTCCTCTTCACAGCACAGAGCCCGGCACTACCTGGTCTCTCAAGGACAGGAAGTGGCCCTGCCCATAGCTGGAACCACGAGTCCACTAGTTCCACGACTGCGCATGAACTGGGGAGTCGTTGCCTGTCGTGCTTTGTATTCCGTTCAATCTGTCTTGCACGTTTGTGCCAGGAATAAAACCTCCCCGCACCCGCAGAGCGTGGCTTAGGGGCACAGCCGGAACCTTTCATCTTTCTCTTGCCCCAGGCATTGCCCACGGCCCTCGGGCTTCTCCTCCCCCTGTCAGGAGAGCCCTGAATGCCAGCCTCCCCATTGCCTGGGAGGTGCCTGGCAAGGTCACATTGAGGGGAACTTCAGACGTGGGACTGGCCCTTGCTTTCGCCAGCTCCCGGCCAGTGCACGCCACAAGGACGTGGCCCCCAATGTCCCCCTGTCCCGACCCCTTCAGCTCCTGGGGGCAGTGACTCCTGCTCCTTACCTGGCCTCAAATCCCCCCCCATCCACCCCATGCCCCGGGGCACAGTCCTCCCAGGAGGATGACCAGCAGTGCCCACTCCATTTCACTCTGCCTGGAGCTGGGAGCCCTCCCTGCCCACCCTGCTCCTTCCCTCCCACCCAGCAGGCGCCCTTCTCCCCGCCCTCCTCCCCAGCCCCTTCCTGCAAAACAGCTGCTCTCCAGCCCTCCCTCCTCCACCCCTACTAAGGCTGCTGTGGGCTGCTCTGGCCAGAAGGGAAATGGACTCATCCAAAACATGATTTTTAAGTCGAGTTTATGGATTTTTTTTTGCTTTTTGGGTCACACCCGGTGACGCTCAGGGGTTACTCCTGGCTTTGCACTCAGGAATCACTCCTGGCCATGCTCGGGGAACCATATGGGATGCCAGAAACCGAACCCAGGCCAGCCTCATGCAAGCAAACGCCCTACCCGCTGTGCTATCGTTCCTGCCCCGAGTTTATGGATTTTAAAAAGTTTCATTTTGGGTGCACACCAATGATTCTGGGGGCTGCTCCCAGTCCAGTGCTTACACACACAGACACACATGGAATGTGCACACACATAGGCACATGTACGAATATGTACAAACACATCTAGGAATGCTCAGGCACACACACGGAGCGGTACACGCACATACAAGCACACACATACAGAGATGTACACGTATGAATACACAGGGACGCACGTGTACACACATACACACATGCAGAGATGTCCACTCACACACATGCTTTCACACATCACGTGTGCACAGGGAGGGACATGCACAGGTTCACACGCAGGGATGTGCCTGCCTGCATAGGCACACGTGCACTCACCCACATACAGGCATCGCATGTTTTATAGCTTCTTGTCAGCTAACAGGGAGGCTGTGTGAGGAACCTAAGAGAAATGTTTATATTGAATATGAAGACACCATGAAGGCCTTCACTGTTGGCTTTCAGGCAGTGTTCCAGCACCCCTCCCCAGTGGGCCAGGTTCCCCCCACCCCCCCCAGCCTGCCTCTGACACGCAGAGAGGTTTTGTTGTTGTTGTTTTGGGGGCCACATCCAGAAGTGCTCAGGGCTGACTCCTGGCTCTGCTCTCAGGGTCATGCCTGGCAGGGCTCAGGGGACCATTTGTGGTGTGTGTGTGTGTGTGTGTGTGTGTGTGTGTGTGTGTGTGTGTATGTGTGTGGTGGCGGGATAAGGCAATACCCACCCGCTGCTGTGGCTCCAGCAGAGTTCGGTTCTTGTCGCCTGGACATCCTGCTTCCTGTTGCTGACCCTGCCTTCACTGTGTCGTCACACAAACCCCCTGCACCTGTGTTTTCCAGCCCCTGTGACCTCCCGTCCAGCCTTCTTCCTCCCCTTTTCTTTCCTTCTCTGTCCTTCTCATTCCTACAAAAGGCTCCTTCTCTCCACTCGCTGTGTGCGGTACCCCCCCAGACCCCCACTCCGTGCCCCCCTCCCTCTCTGCTGGCTGAGCCCCCAGACCAGGAGCACTGCAGTGCCCCTCCGGACCTAGAAATCACTCTCAAAAGGACGCTCTCCCTCCAGAGCTGTAGGGGGCATTCATGGAGGGACTGTCCCCAGCAGAGAAGTGCTAACATGGGAAGGGTCAGTGACTCTGGGGATGTGCCAGGGACAGCGCCCAGGAGACACAGCAGGAGCACCGTGAGGCACTCGGGGAAAGCTGCCTGGGGGCGTGGGGGGGGCCCTTGGGACAGGCCTGGCCAGTGCAGCCACCCACCGCAGGGAGAGTGATTCTGTGCCAGGGCGTCAGACCACAGGCCCCCAGCCAGCCAGGGCCCCTGCCAGGCGGGGGCTGCAGTGGAGGCAGGAGATCCGGAGGGCCCGGCTGAGCTGGGGTGGGGGTCGACCCCCGCGCACAAGCCTCTCTGAGAACCCGCCTGCCTGCAGGATTGCCGGAGTGCAGTGTCTCACCGTGCCCGGCTACTCCAAGGGCTTCGGCTACCAGATGGGCCAGAGCTTCTCGGGGGAGTTTGACCACGCCTGGAATGCCGTGTTCCTGGACGGCCGCTGGCACCTGCTGGACAGCACCTGGGGCAGCGGCCTGGTGGATGCTACCACCTCCAAGTTCACTTTCCTGTGAGTGCGCATCTTCCCCGTAACAGGAGTGGGAGGCCGCTGGGTGGAAGGAGGCCATGGGTGGACAAGGGTTGGAGGAGAGAGGGCACTGGGGTACCCCTCACCACTGCAGGGTTTGAGCCCGGACCACCTGATCCCCTCAAGAGCTTCCAGCATACCCTAGGGGCCTCATGTGTGTGCATGCACATGTCTGTTTATGCGTACACGTGCATTTGCACGCATGTGTGTGTGTGTATATGCGTGCATACTTCAGGGAGCGTTCTCTCAGGCCCTGTCTTTCGGCCCCACTGGTTGTATTGCAATGTGGGAGCCTCAGTTTGCACCCTGCTCCCCTGTACTTCGAGCCCTGTCTGCAGCCCATGGTGTCTGGGACCAAGGGGCCCTGGTTCTGTTGGGAGGGGACCCCGGAGGGTGCTGGGCACTGGGCCATGTTGCCCCCAACCCTGGTCTTAACCTGAAGCTGGCGCTCCTCCTGGGCCCCGAAGCCTGCAGTGGTCGGGTTCCAGGAAGGAGAACTCTGTCAGCTTTTGCATTCCCCCCAGCCCCGCTCCCAGGGGCAAACAGGAGGCAGGATCAGACCCCTCCCACAGGCCCCCACCCCTCTGCTCTGCCAGCTGCTCTCCTGAGACCAGATGAGTGTCTGTCACTCACCTGTTGGGGAGCAATTCCTGCCCGCGGTGGGTGGGGACCGGCTTCTCCCTCAGCTCCTCCTGGCAGAGCAACTCAGGGCTGGAGAGGACACTGCTTCTGTCCGGGAACTCCGGGGAGTCGGCGCCCGCTCACGGCCTCCCGCTGCAGGTACAACGAGTTCTACTTCCTCACCCACCCGGCGCTCTTCATCGAGGACCACTTCCCTGACAACAAGAACTGGCAGCTGCTCAAGCCCCCGCAGTCGCTGCACCAGTTTGAAAACAACATGTACCACAAGAGCGAGTTCTACAACAAGGGGCTGCTCAGCGCCCACCCGAATGTCCCGGTGATCAGAACAGGTAGTGCCCAAGTACTCAGTGTCCCACCGGGCGCGCGCTCGGCCCATGCACGAGGATCCCCACCAGCCGCGTGCTTGGCCCAAGTATTCGGTGCCCCGTCGGGCACACGCTGCGCCCATGCACTCAGTGACCCGCTAGGCGCGCGCTCGGCCTGTGCACTAGGAGCCCCACCAGGCGCGCGCTCCCCTAGATGTGACCCACCAGGCGCGCACTCCGCTGTGCACTAGGAGCCCAACCCCAAGAGGCGCGTGCTCAGCCCCTGCACTGGGTGACCCACCAAGCACGCTCCCTAGGGGCAGTATGAGCTGGAGATCACACTGCGGGAACAGAGTTCCCTAGCACAGCGGTCAGAGGACTGCCCCCCCAGTTCCCTGCCCACCCCTGCCAGGCTCTGCTCAGCCCTGTTTGTGGCCTGTGGGTCCCAGTGGGGGGACACGGCCTCGATCCTGGTGGCCGCGACCTCCCAGGGACCCCACAGTCCCAGGAGAGAGAGGGTCTGTGGGGGGCAGTCGGACCACTTAGAGAGGCTGGGTCCCCCGACACTGGGTGACTTGCTTAGGGTCATGGCCTCAGGCTCTGCCCCTGGAGGGGAAGCACTCCCACTCTGGGGCCACCTCAGAGGGTGCAGGCTGTCCCACCCCCGCCCTCACCCCAAGGCAGGGCCCAGCCTTGTCCCGGAGGTTGCATGGTCAGGACAGCAGCTGAGCTATCCTAGAGGGGGCCCAGCTGACCTTCCCCCCACCTCCCCTCCTGGACCATGGCTGCTGGGAGAGGCGGGCGGAGGGTCAGTGTTCACTGGCTGCTGACTTGCTCAACAAGGTTTCCTAGCAAAGTGGCAATTTTCACGATGCTCTTAGCACCCACAACACCCAGAGCTCTCAGCACCCACAGAGCACCCAGCACCCACAGGGCCCTCAGCACCCACAGGGCCCTCAGCACCCAGAGCCTTCAACATCCATGGAGTCCTCAGCACCCACACGGCCCTCAGCACCCAGAGCCCTCAGCACCCACAGGGCCCTCAGCACCCACTGGGCCCTCAGCACCCACAGGGCCCTCAGCACCCAGAGCCTTCAACATCCATGGAGTCCTCAGCACCCCCACGGCCCTCAGCACCCAGAGTCCTCAGCACCCACAGGGCCCTCAGCACACACAGGACCCTCAGCACCCACAGGGCTCTCAGCCCACAGGCCAAAAGCGAGTTAGTTGGGGCGCTAACTAACTAATGGGGCTCCCCACACCTCTCGCTGTGAAGGGGGTGCGGGGGCAGCCGAGAGCAGCCGGTCAGCGTCTGGCCCTGCCCCCCGCATCCCCGCGAGCCCGGCTCTGTGTCCACAGTGAACGGGAAGGTCACCATCACCGTGGAGAGCCGCGCGCCCACGCCCTTCATGTTCATGCTGAACGGCAAGCAGGAGCACGGGCTGCTGAGCCTGCGCAAGAACGGGATGAAGCTGGACGTGTACCCCCCGACCCTGGGCACCCACAAGCTGCAGATCTTCGCCAAGGGCCGCTCCGACGTGTACAGCTCGGTGCTCGAGTACACGCTGCAGTGCAACTACGTGGACGCGGGCGTGCGGCTGCCGGCCGAGCTGCACCAGCCCGTGGGCCCCAGCTGGCTGTCGGAGCAGCTGGGCATCGCCAAGCCCTCGCACCGCGACCCGGTCATCCACACGCGCGACGGCCGCTGCGCCGTCAGCTTCGGCGTGGACGAGGGCCTCAGCGTGCTGGCGTCCCTGCACGGCGACGACGGGCCGGGCACCGAGGAGACGCAGCGGCGCTACATCTTCCAGCTGCGTCGCGAGCAGCGCACCGAGCTCCGCGTGCAGCTGCCGCACGCCGGCAAGTTCGCGCTCAAGATCTTCGTCAAGAGGCGGCAGGACGCGGGCAACTACGCCTTCGTCTTCAACTACCTCGTGTGCTGCAGCAACAGCCAGGTCCGCTGGCCCGTGTTCCCCGAGAGCTTCGGCAACTGGGGCCCCGGCAACGAGCTGCTGGAGCCGCTGTCCGGCGTGCTCCCCGCCAACCGCAGCGTGCCCTTCAAGCTGAAGCTGCACGGGGTGGCCAAGGCCCTGGTGAAGGGGCAGGACACGTGGCCCCTGACCCTGAACAGCGACGGCTACTGGGAGGGCAGCTACAGCACGGCCGGCTGCCGGGAGGTGTACGTGATGGTGCTGGAGAACGCCAACCACAGCTTCTACTCCTACATCCTCAAGTACCAGGTGGGCGCCCAGTGACGGCGCCCCGGCCCCGCCGCGCTGCCCCTGCCCGGCGCCCAGCAGGGCTTTCCTCCAGCCGGCCGGCGCCCAGGGCCAGAGGCAAAGGCCCTGCGGAAAGAAAAAGGTGCTATGTAAACCCGCGGTATTGTGAACGCGGCCCCGCCCGGTGCCCCTTCTCGGCTCAGAGCTTCGTTGTCGAGGATCCAGGGGGAAACGGGCTGGACGCGGTGTCCAGGGGAGGGGGCAGGAGCCCAGGAGCCCCTCCAGGAATGTGTCTGTGCTTCTCCCTGACTCCTGGGCACCAGGCACCAGGACGGGGGTGTCACTGCCTTAAGCCCTGGGCCTCGGGGTCCTGCCCACCACCTGCCCCCTGCCCCCCACCCCCCACCTCGGAGGCTGACACAGCTGCTGCCTGTCCTTCTCGGGTCTCCTAGGAGGGGCGTGAGAAGGGTCTGGCACCTCGGTCTGAAGGAGTAAGACCCCAACAGTGCCTATCAGTGGGGGGAGGGGAGGAGCCTAGCCTCTCCCAGGGAGCCCCAAGGGGCCTTCTCCAGCCTGGGGGAGTGCAGGGGCCTCTCACAAGGGCCCCGGGCAGCAAGGTGACGGTTGGGGTGCTCCACCCGCCAGGAAGCAGCTACCTGAGCCCACACGGCAGTTGAGAAGGCCCCTTGTGGCCAGCAGCCCCTCCCCCAGTGGTCCCCAGGCCCTGTCCTCATGGCCCCTGGGGCATACTGACTGAGGATGATCCCTGGCCCCCTGGCACCGTAGCACCACCCAGCAGGACCCAGGCATGACTCCTGGCGCCCCCGCCCTCCAGCTCTCAGCTGCCCCCAGAGCCTCCTCATGCCACCTCACCTTAGTGTCACCTTGGTGCCACCAAGGCCCCAGCAGCAGCCCTCAGCCCCTGCCTGGGTGAAGGCCCAGCCCCGCACTTCAGTCCTTTGGCCCTTGTGGTACCTCGGGGACCTGGATCCCCTTCCCCTGACCGGCACCCGCTGCCCAGTCCCTGGGGGTACCGTGTTGTTCACCCCCAACAGATGGACAGAGGCTGCCACACAGGGGAACGGGCAGGTTTTACACCCAGAGAACAACCTGCAGGGACTGTGCACCGTCAAAACACTCAGTGCTTTGGGTGTTTAAAAAGTCACCCATGGGCCCAGCGCAGAGATACAGCTATTGCTGAGGGAGCCAGCCCCGTAGGCGGTGAAGTTCATGCACACACGCTGTGACATGTAGGGGGTGCACGGCCAGGGACCCCTCGGCTCCTGCAGCTTCCTGACCCCATTGCTAACCAGCGCCCTTAGAAAAGACAGCTGGGGACACAGCAAACCACTTGCAACTCTTGTAGCTGAAGTGAAAATACATGAAATGCGATGCAGTCCTCATGAATTCTCACACACATGCTGCTGGGTTGGAAACTCACGGTTGCCTCTGGAAACCAGCTCCTCAAATCCTCATCTTTGTTTCCTAGGCAGGGACCCCGGTGGCCGGAGGCAGGGCACGGGCGCCGCCTGCTGGCCAAGTGCGGCATTTCCGCGCTGCCAACCTTCCAGGGCTGAGTCTGTCTCCAGGGCTTCTTTTTTTTTTTTGAAAGCCAAATTTGAGAAGCTTTCTGAGATGTTTATGTTAAAAGTCACTGGGTGCTTTCTCATGGCTTCTCGGCGCTTTCTCTTGTGTACTCGGGGGCCGTCTTTGCCATGCACTAGCTGTGAGGTGGGCCTGCAGGGCTGCCGCCAGATGGGACTGGGGGGGGCGGGTGTTTGGTCAGAAATTAAGCTTGAACAGAGGCAAGGAGTAGGACTGGGCGGGACAGCACTGACCGCTCTGCCAGGGACACAGGATGGAACGTGGTGGAATTTAAGGACTTTATCTGAGGACGGCAGTGGTGAGGCCACAGGCAGGAGGTGCAGGAAAAAGGGGGAGAATGGGGAACTCTGGGAATCGGAGAGGCCAGGGCAGGCCGCCAGGCACTTTCTAGCTCCTTCTAAAAAGCCCCTGCGCAGCTGGACACCATTACCACCCTGATGGTGGCCCTGTGAGTTCCCCACACATGCCCAGGACGTCTCCAGCCAGCCTGCCGTACTCTGGGGACATGGATAGTCCGAGGCATCAGCTGAACGTCAAGGACAAGGGTCATCAGGAGGACGTGTCGCCAAGAAAGCCTGTGAAGTTCTCTCCTCTAAAGACTTGAGGAGAGAGACGGTATCCCCAGAGGTCTAGGATTTGGAGGGGGGGCCCCAGTTCTTTCCAAACCAGCCAGTTCCTAACATGCAGTCAACGGGCTGCAGCTGAAGCAAATGGTTTATCCGTGGCTGCCGGCCAGACCCGCTTTCATGGGGACAAGGCTGGGGACAGTCCTGAAGGGGGCAGCCCTTCACTGTGTGTGCCGAGGTGTGTGGGCGGGGGGCTGCGGAGTGCTCTCCTCACCTTGTTGCTCTTGTTGTTTTCCAATAAAATTTATATTCATTTTTATCCAACAATGTAATTATCGATCAGTTCTTATCACTGTGCTCACAAGGGGAAGGGGGAAAAAAATCACACAACAGCAACTGGAAAAACGGCTTTCATGTTCAAAGAGAGCCCTCGGAAAAAATCAATGTCCCGCCATGGGGATGTGACGGCGAGATGCAGATGGGGTGTCAGGCAAGGCGCGGGCTCACATTAAAGGAAACGTAATTAGGTTCGCTCCAGCCCATCTCTGCTCACTTGCCTTTGAAGAACATGAAGGCAGTGTGTCTTTCACTGAATCTTGTTTAACTTGAAATTTTTAAAGTTAATCCTAGCTTCTTTTTAATGGGAGGGGAAAAAATATCAAAGATGCCTCTAGCCTACTTTTCCTGTTGTTAGGAATGTACTTAATACATATTAGTTGATGGTCAAATACATGCAGAAAACTTTCAGTAGTTTCCCTAAACAGTTTAATTCCCAACTTACACACTGACGGAAGGGGAGGGGGGGCGGTAATAAAGATCCAGGCTCCTGGGGGAAGCCAAGGGAGGCAGGGAGACCATCTTTAGAGCTAGTTTGAAGGACAGAAAGGTCTGCCCTTCCTGTGGGATCCATACCCCGAGATTCAGCTGGCTTCCTCCCCAGGCAGCTCTCCGGGGGCACCCCGCCATAGCAGCAGACTCAGGGAAATGAGATGAAAATCTGCTCTGCATAGGAGATGCTTCGATTATTGGCAACAGTCAGAACATGGCAGGCCGAGATGGAGGAGGGTCCACTAGGACAACATTAGTTGGAAATGATCACTCTGGACAAGAACTGAGTGTTGAAAGTAGGTACAGGGATATCCATGAAAACCTTTCAGCATCTGTATTGCAAACCATAAGGCCTAAAATGAGAGAGGATGAGAGAGAAAGAGACAGAAAGAGAGAGAGAGAGAGAGAGAGAGAGAGAGAGAGAGAGAGAGAGAGAAGAGGTGCCTGCCGTGGATGCGGGCTGGGGTGGGGGATGGTTTGGGGGGATTGAGAGGAAAACTGGGGACATTGGTGCTGGGAAATTACAATGCTGGAGGGACGGGTGTTGGAGCTTTGTATGACTGAAACCCACTCGCGAACAGCTTTATAATGCTCAATCTCATGGAGATTCAATTTTTTTAAATTGAGTAATTTTATTTAGAAAAGAACATGCCAGAGCAGGCTGGGATGGTGACCTCTCAGATCCCCCCAAGTTGGGAGAGTTTGTGATGCTGTATCCCCCAGACGGCTGCTGGCAGGCGGTCAGCAGTGAAGCATCTGAGGGGGTCCCGCTGTGCTCAGAGGTGTCCTGACAGCCCCCCAGGACTGCAGACTAGCACCTCTCCTGCTTGGAGCAAGAGAACCCAGCCAACCACCTAAGGGGCAGCCATAGCCCTGACACGAGGCTTCCTCACTCTAACTTGACAAGCAGAACTAATGGAAGGAAATTTCAGCCGGCAACATAGGGGCCACTCTGGGACCGGTCCTCGGGCATTCGAAGCCACTGAGGAGCCAAGTGGCCTCAGCTCCTGCCATGCCCCCAACACAGCAAATGCTCCCTTCCCAGCCACCTCAGCCTGGCACATGGCAGGGTCACACACTCCTTCATTGTCCTCCTCCAGGGCTGGCGTCTTCCCCCTGACGTGCTTGCTCATGTCAGTGCCGCTCTGGGCTGTTGTGGGCACCGTGGCTGTCATCTCTCAGCCACTCTGTCCCACAGGTGCAGCCCGGGACTCTTGGCTTGATGTCCCGGGTGGGAACAAAGCCTTGTTTCTTCCCAAAGAGGCTCTCCGTGTCCTGGGAAGGCATCAGCAGCACTGGTGAAAGACTGACCGAACCGAGCAATGGTCTGAAAGGAAAGCAGGAAGATGTTCTGTCTCCCCGTTTCTGGGCTCTGGAGAGGCACAACGCTGAGGTCCTTGCCCTGGTGAGGGGCCAGACTCCACAGCAGATGGCTCTGTCCTCCATGACTAGATGGGCCTGGGGGAGGGACAGGTGGAGCCTGCCTGTTCCCCTTAGTGAGTCCAGCGGTTACTGTCCCTCTGGCCCCCGGGAATCAATGCCATGCTGATGGTTGCTCCGTGCTGTCAGCTGGGTTTCTTTTTTTTTTTTTTTAATTATTGAATTACCATGAGATAAATACAAGCTTTCATGTTTGGGTTACAGTCACACAATGATCAAACACCCAACCCTTCACCAGTGCACATTCCCCACCACCAATATCCCCAGTATACGCCCCCTTTCCCACCCTCTCCCTGCCTCCATGGCAGACAATATTCCCCATACTCTCTCTCTACTTTTGGGCATTATGGTTTGCAATACAGACACTGAGAGGTTGTCATGATAACCTCACAGCTGGGTTTCTGAGAAGAGAGTGTTCTGGGCGTGCAACTGGGGCTAGAGAGTAAGACTCAGAAGGCAAAGGGGGAGCAGCATTAGGCAGAGGGAAGCTCAGACAGGGTCCGAGGCCCTGCAGCCCAGCAGAAGAGTCCTCAGTTGGGCAGAAACTGCTATGCTCACCACGTGTGGCAGCGCAACGAGTCTGCCTGGGACGAGCCTCAGTCCAGCAAGCAAGAAATTTCATTGTCAGGGCTAGAGCAATAGCACAGTAGTTCGGGCATTTGCCTTGCATGCTGCTGATCCGGGTTCGATTCCAAGCATCCCATATGGTCCCTGAACACTGCCAGGAGTAATTTCTGAGTGCAGAGCCAGGAGTAATCCCTGAGCATCGCCAGATGTGACCCAAAAAGAAAAAAAAAGAAAGAAAAAAATTTTGTCACTCCAGCTACCCATGTAAAAAGCTG